GCAGCCACGTCTCTGCCACCCACAGCGAGAGGAGCCACCACAGCCACCATTCCTACGGCCCCCCAGGAGTCCCACCCCTCTACAACCTCCCCAAGCTGGGCTCCAAAGTCTACGGGACGAGCGGACCCCCGGGAGGACCCCCCGTCAGGGAACTGAGCTCCGTTCCTCCGGAGCTGGGCCCCCCCCAGCCACCATTCCTACGGCCCCCCAGGAGTCCCACCCCTCTACAACCTCCCCAAGCTGGGCTCCAAAGTCTACGGGACGAGCGGACCCCCGGGAGGACCCCCCGTCAGGGAACTGAGCTCCGTTCCTCCGGAGCTGACGGGCAGCAGGCAGTCCTTCCAGAAGGCTATGGGCAACCCTTGTGAATTCTTTGTTGACATCATGTGAGAGGAAAGTGCCTTCAGACTCTTGCTTGGGGAAGGGGGGAGGGTGGGGGGGGTCGTTTTGGGCAACGTGGTCATTGGCGAACACTTAATGGAAGAAACTTGTTGGCCGTCTTGCATGTCACGCCCCTCTGGTTTGCGGTTGTGTTGGCAGAAAAAGCAACAAAAGAAAACAAAAAATACAACACACCCCTTTCCCCCAACACCTCTCCCACAGAAAACAACCAAAAACATAGAATCTCCTGGGACTGTTAACTATCAGCAAATTGATGGCATCTTTTCTTCATCCTTTTCCCTCCCTCCCCCCCCTTTCTTGTTTTTGATGGTGAATGGCTGGTGTATCTTTACATCTTAATGAGCTTCGGTAATTGTGGCACCTACTTCACTGCAATTAGTGTATCTTCTGGGCTGATTCAAGGACTATTCTTTCACATGACTTCTAAAGTTCCAGTAATGCATAGTAGCACTTTTATTTTCCCCTGCTGTTTTCTCTTAGAAGGAAAAAAAGGAGCACTGGCTGGTATCTGTGATACTGCCCTTTACTGCTGTGGCTTGGATGCATCAACCAGCATGGCAGCACCAGTGGACAGACAACACCTGCTTGGCAAGGAGCAGGCTCAGACCAATTCCTACCTGAAGGCAAAGTTGCAGCTACCTTCTTCTGCTCACTAGGGAGTACAAGTCAATCTTTATATTTTATTTTTAGATGCTATTCTAGCAAGGGAGCGGTGGAGCCTTGCTATTGAGTGTGTTTGTTGTGCAGAGCTTGTTACTTCATGTGGTATCATGGTAGTGACTTTTGCTCCTGGGCTTTTCAGTCACCCCCCTGTCTGTTTCTTCTGGTTACAGTGCACACTTGCTTATAGATTTTAAAAGTTGTTTCCACAGAAATAGGACATTTCCTGCTGTGATTTCTCTTAGTGTAGCTGCAGCTTTTCCCTTCTGAAGGGATATTTATCCCATCAGACACAGGTAAACCCTGGCTCCCACTGGACATTCTGATCACCTCTTTTTCCACTTTTAATTTCTGTGGAGATGTCTAATCCCAGTGGCAGTGCTACCCAAGAGAACATGTTCTGAACACAGGTGGGGGCTGGCTGTTAGCAGAGAGGTGAGAGGGCGTTTTAGAACAGGTCAGAAATGGTACAATGAGTGAATCTCTAGCTGACACAAAGTGAGGCCCATGCTAAGGCTCCTGCTGGGGAGCTTTGACTTAAGCAACTGCTGTTGTCTGTCCCCAAGGTTTCCTGACTGTATTTTTCTCTCTAAGGCTATAGACACTTTTGATACAGTATGGTCAGGAGCCCTCACTGACCTTTAAGAAGCTTTTATGAAAGTATCTGGATGGGAGTGTGGTAAGAGCACAGCCACACTCTGTGGGGGTGGCTCATTTCATAGGGAAAATGCAGTCAGCTGCAGTCACTTGGTGGCATTGACCATGGGGCCATGCCTCAGCAAATCCCTCCCTTGTGAGATACCTGCTTCTGGCAGGTTTTAGGACAGGTGCTTTAAAATCACTCTTTTTTTTTTGTAGATAAGCATTTTCTTCACTGGTAAGAAGCTTCTCTTTGGTATGTTCCATGCTTATGGGTAGTGTGAATATCCAACATGAATGTCAAAAGAGAATGTCTCTCTCACTATATACGTTGTAGTTTCACCTTCCTTTGTCACCCTGAAAAATTGCTCTTCAAACTGTCCATTATTTATGTTCATTCTGATAGATTTTTCACTTTTCTTACTGCAGGTCAGTGTGTAAACACATCCCTTTTACACAAGTCTGAGTAACATTTTCTGTCAGCTGGAGACTTAAGTCTCACTTTGAGAAGGGAGCCAGGCATTGAGCAAGCTCTGTGTCACTGACTAGGTACTTCAGTTCCTGGGCTTCTAGACTGGCTTTGAGCAGGTGTTTTTTTCCCCAAAAATCTCCTGAAGAGCTACATAACATTTCTGAAAGTGGTGCATCCATCTGATGGCACAGAACGCAAAGCTGGTGAGGGCTTGTTCAGAAGAACAGCACTACCTAAAGCCTGACTGTGCAGAGTATCCTTTCTTTTCCTTTCCTCCTCCTGGGAGCACAGCAAAGATGCTAACTCAACTCAGCAAAGCATTTGGGAAGATTGACATTTAAAGCAATGAAAGAAATCAGGGTAAAGTAATTCTGCTACGTCTCCAGGAGACACTGGTAAGGAGTCTGTGACTTTACTGACAATCACTAGTGGTTCTACTTTTAAATTAATTTAAATTTCTCTGGACTCTTATATATTACAGTTTTTCTGGCCCACTTTGTCTTAGGGCAGAACGTGCAGGGCTGGAGGAAAAGACTGTGATTTTCATAAGATACTTTGAAAAGGGATTAAAGCTGGGGGCTGAGCTTTCACCCACGGAAGGAATGTGTTTAATTTCCTCATGGCTTTTCAAGAGTTCCCATTTACACACCTGCTGGGTTTTTTTGTCTTGGTGTTAAACGCTGTTGGCAGAAACTGTTCTGTGTCTTTGCTGGTCTTTGCTGCTATGTTGAAATGACTGTGTTATATACTTGTGTGTTTGTGGGTAACTGGGGTGAGGCTGACAGTCCAGAACATCCACGTGGGCAAGTGTCTGTCTGCTGAGGAAATCCAGCTGCTAAACCCAGCCTGGATTAGCTTCACCCACAACTGGGCATCCAGTTCAGGCAAATCATGAGTGCTCTGGAGGCACTGACAGCTGTGCTGGGTGGTTAATAGTGTAGAGCTTGGAGAACCTGCTGCTACAGAGAGAGAAGAATGTAAATGACCCTTCTGTGACCAGTGCAATAAATAATGGCCACTGTCTGTAGAACAAAAGCTGAATTTCCCCACTTTGTAGTGTGCAGTGGAGGGGCTGGTTGGAATGAATGGGAAGTTAGGCCTGGAACTTTGCTAGCTCTTCATTTTCAGAGGTGAATGAAGACAGGAGATTTCCCACATCCCATCCTTGGCTTTCAATGCCTGTGCATGTGTCCGTGCAACAAGGGGGCCTTGGAGCCAACTGTGTGAGCTTCTCCCATGTGGTAGGGTAGGACCTGCAGAAGGAAATGCCACTGATGCCAGTGAAGCTGATCAGAATAGGAGGTGCTGTCCCAGGTGGAAGAAAATATGATGCTGGAGTCCTGCAAAGCTGTTTTGTTTCTCTCACCTGAAATGTTTATCTGATTTTAATGTCAAGTAACTGGCACTGGCTGGGCTCTAGAGAGCAGGATCTGTGCCTCTAACTATGATGAGAAGTTACGGGTTTGCTACATGAGGCATTGAAACAACCTCATAACAGGAGCCTTAAATAGTTGACATTTTTATTCTGGAAGTGAGACCCTCAGTTACCTGCCTGTGCTCTGCAGCTGAGCTTCAGATTCACACACACCTGCCCACACCTTTTAACAGGGATGTTTGGAAGATCACAGAAAATGGTAATAAAGCAGTTTGGGATGATGTCTCCTACCCAAAGGAGGCAGTATCTGTAGGGGCTCTGCACCCACCCAGCATATTAATTCTGAGGAGTTAAGGGTTTTGGCAAATAGTCTTAAAAGCACTGCTGTTGTCTTTTACCTCCTGTTAATAAATCTCCTTTTCAAAGGTAACAGTCCCCTGGACACTTTAGCCAAAGGCATATTGGATGGCAAGCAATGATGCACAGACATTGACTTATGATGTTATTTTTGCTCTGCTCAAATGGGCAGTCCCTTGAGACTCGACAGCTCATGAGTTGGTGTAATTGTTTTTGTTTTGCATTTAACTGGATTGTAATAAGATTGACTTAAAATTATTAATTCTAATCAGTGATTAGAAATACATGTAAAGAATTTTATGTACAGTAGAGGAACAAAGTTACATGATTTTAAATAATGAAAACCCAGACTATCACCTATTCTAGAATTGGTTCTACTCCAAGAGTGACCTCTTACTAGCATGGACTGCACTGTTCCTGTTAAATGTCTATTGCATAATTGAATTCTTTTTTGTAGATACTGTATTAAAACCCAAGTGTCTGTATAGTTAATATATAGCTGCTTATGTGTAAATGCTATTTTAAACACTAAAAAGCTTTTAATTTTATGTGATAACCACCGTGTATGCCTTCAGTTCTTTGCAATCCTGCTTTATCTTCCATTGAAGAATGAGGGAATATCAGTTGAATCTTCATCTTTTTATTTTTTCCCTGCCACCCTGAAGTTATGTCCTCTCCACAGAAGATTGCTGAGGAGCTCATGCTAGGCAGGTTGGAGTTCTGTGATATCTTGGGACTTCAGAAGTGCTTACAGTACAAAGCATGGCAGAAACCCTGTCAATGTTCACCTCTGACCCAAGTCACAGATGGTTCATCCACAGAGGCCCAGCCTTCCCTGGGGGTTCATGACATCTGGCTGCAAACACAAGGCCCTGCAGCTGTAGCTATGAGCTTATGACTAACAGATAGATGGGAAAGTTGTGCTTTCCCCCTAAACTGCTCTACCTCTTAATTATTGAGCTTCTCCCTCTTGCAGCTTGGCAGGAGTAGGTATACAGGAGAGGCTGAAGAAAGTTTGTGGAAGTCAAAGACAGCTGGAGGATATGTCCTGTTACAAAGAGATGAGCTGGAGCAAGTTGTCCTGCCTGCAGACCCAGGAGATTAACCTGCTGGTAGAATCCATCAGTGTATTCAGCTGCTGATTTGAATGTTCCCTTTTTCTGGACTTTGCTCACAAGCTCCAGCTCCACAAGCTGGGATCATTAGGACACCACTTTGCAGACTAACTGGTAAGCCTTAAACCAGAGAGCATTTGTCATGCAACAGAAGGACACCCAGCCTCCCTGTAAGGTCTGAGTGGTTCATGTACAATGAACAGCCCCAGCTTGATGAGGCAGATGCCCTCCTCTTAACTGGTAGAGATCAAGCAGCAAAAGGAGAGACAAAGTAGAAGCCACTAAGGAGAAACTAATTATAAGTGGCACAATTCTGCAGCAGATTTATGTGAGAGCCTGTGAAAAAGTCTAGCAGAGTTTCCCATATTCT